TTTACAAAAGCTACCCGATGTTATCTGCCCCAAATGACTTCGAACGGCAAAAAAGACATGCCCATGCACTCTCCCCCGGGGCCCCAAATCATGGAACTTGTGTTCATCAAGAACTGCAAGAACCCCCCTATCACGACCTTTTTTCCCCCTAGGAGAGGGAGCAGGGACAGGGGGTTTTCCCACATTTTTACAAAAAAAAACGACATACCCCACCCCAAAAAGGGGGGCAGTAAAGCAACAAAGCAAAGAACTACAGACCAATAGCACTAACATCCCTATCAAAAAAATCTTTGAAAGGTCCAAAAAAGAAAGATACCCCCCTTAAAAACCCATAAATTACAAAACCCCAGGGAACATGGGTTTAAACAGGTCCTCCTGTCTGTCTCAACATTGGACCCACGACAAGGTCCTAATGATAGAAAAAAAAAAGAACAGAGTAATATTACGACTTTGCAAACCTTCGACAAGTGTGCCCAGGGCGTAATAGCGCACAAAAGCGTGAAAAAGGAATAACGGGAAAAGTGGGTCGTGGATCAAAATTTCCCATTAACAAAACACAGGGGTTTAGTCTTTAACAGAGAAAAGTCCGGGGCGCTGGGGTTGAAAAGCTCTGTTCCACAAGGCCCAGTACCCCTCCCATCTTGTTCCCTACCTTTAATCCAAATAACAAGGATGTCAGCCACAGCACCGTGTTTTCCTTTGCAGATGACACCGAATCTGCGACAGTGTTTTTCCATTGCAGCACTAAAAGCCGGGCAGACACAACCAAATCTTTCAGTGGGTGCAGAAAAACAATATGAATTTCCCCAACGTGAGAAATTTAAAATTATAGATATGGAAAACATGGGGAAAATTTAAATTTCATCAGAGTACAAAACAAATTTGGCCCCAAAAAAAGGCGAAACACCAACGTCAAAACCTGGGAGTGATCATGTCGGGGGATCTCACCTTCAAGGACCATAACATTGTATCAATTTCCCTTGCTGAAAAAATGACAGGAGGGTAAAGAGAACCTTTCAAAATGGGAGGCCAAAACCCCTGTGACACTCTTAGGTCAAATTGTTCTATCTAGGCTGGAATATTGCTGCAAAAAACGCACCTTTCAAGGCAGGTGAAATTGCCGACCTAGAAAAAAGTACAGAGAATTTCACGGCGCGCATAAAAGGAGATAAAACACCCCAATTATTGGGGCGCTTGAGGTTCCTAAACCTGTTTCCCCAAAAGCAGGGGGGAGAGATACTGATTAATACACGTGGAAAAAACCTAGGGGACTGTACCGAACTTGCACACGAAATCCCCACACGAAAGAAAGACTTGGAGACATGCACCATCCCCCCCAAAAGAAAAACAGGGGGTCCAGCAGTTAAGAGACCATACAATAAGTGTCAGGGGCCCGAGGCTGTTCAAAGCTCCCAGCACACATAAAGGGGGGTTTCCAACAGACCCCTGGCAGTCTTCAAGCTGGCATGGAAAGCACCCAAAGTCAGTTCCGGATCAGCCGGGCTGTGGCTCGAGTTGGTTGCGTGCAGCCAGCAGCAACGCCTGGTTATCAGGCTCTGATCACCAGGAGGCCCGGTCTCAGCCCGGGGCCCCGGGGGCGTTGACCCCGGAACTCTTCCCGGGAAACTCCAGGGAAACAGTCCCTCTCAAAAAAATCTAATATTTCCAAGAAGCAGTCCCTCACTCCCCCCTGGCACTGTACCCCCTGGGAAAAGTGGGGTCTGAGGCCCCAAAAAATTCTTTCACACAGACAAGTCCTGAAGAGGGAAGTGTTATCGTCCTTAAACAGGACAGACTTAAAGAAAAAATCCTGCACTCCTAAAGATGTCGCAGTACAAACCATTCAGCACCGACTGCAAAAGGACCTGAAAATGCCTGCTCAGTGTGTCGCCAAGAAGCCCATGCTAACTGAAGACATGAAGAAGAAACAACTTCAGTTCTGCAAGAAGTACAAGGATTGGACCTCAGACCAGTGGCAGGTGGTGTTCAGTGACAAGAGTACCTTGAGGCTTATCAGGAGCAGCTCTAAGATCGTCCGTCGTCCCAGTGGTGTGTCTTGTTATGACCCGCGGTATGCCGTGAAGACAGTGAAGCACCCTGACAGTGTTATGGTCTGGGGTGCTTTTAGTGGTTATAAAGGCAGAGGTGGACTGTACTTTCTTCCTAGGAACATTACTATGAAGGGTAGTACATGTACGTAATTATATCAAGGTGTTAAGGGACCACGAGTTTGATTTTTTTATTCATGATGGTGCCCCTGCCCATAAGTCAAAAGGAGTGAAAAAGTTCCTTGAGGACAATATATCAGTGTTTTGAAGGGGCCAGGCAATTCCTCTGACCTAAATCCTATCAGAATGCCTGGCATGTGATGAAAAATGAGATAGCAAAAGTTTGCCCCACCAACATCACAGACCTAAGGAGACACTGCAGAAGCTTTGGATCAACATGGATGCCTCCTTCTTCTCCACCTTTGCCACTCAATGCCCAGGTGACTTCAGATGGTGATAAGAACATTAGTAACATGACCAAGTACTAGTTGGAAGCTAAAAAGTAAAAATAAAATACATGTATATACATTAAATTGCGTTTTTCATTTTTTTGTCCAAAAATTTTTAATGTATAGATTTTTTGTGGCCACTGTATAATTGATGGCTAAAATGTGCAGAGTAGGAGCCATCTACTTTTACCAAATTCTTTCCCATTGAGGAGGTTCTGGTCTTCCCACTGCCTACTTTAGTCAGTGGTTCTTATTAATTCATCTTTTTTCTTTCTCTTTCTTCATGTCTGTAATCTCTTCTCTTCTGCTAATATTATTTAATGTCCAGCTTACACTTCTAAAACTCCTAAATACCACAGATATACTAAGAAAGCCTTCCACATATAAATTTTGAAATTCAACACCTTGGATCCTTCCATATTTTGTTGATCAGGATCCCTCCATATTTTGTTGATCACAGTTACTTCAACCAGTCCCTGAGCCATTTTTCTCAGCTGCTTTACCTGTGAAGACTGGAAGTAGTACAGTACAGTTTTTCCATTTAATACAATATTTTCACTACAGGTGCCTCTAGGACAGTACCTGGATATGACAAGGAATATATAATTATCATGAGGTTGCTCTTGAGAATGTTGGCAAACTACTGCAAGAAGTTCTTTCCACCTGAATGAATATGTGAACACCAACAAAGGGATACATGTACACTGTACCTCGTGCTCACGTGGATACCCACCCAGGTTTGACTTTATTATCAGTAAGAAAGGTGCCTTAACATATTAATACAAAATACTTTACTATATGTATAGTTCTTTGAGGATCTGTAGATTTTGATACATTTAAATGTTCACTTGGTGGTTTATGCATTGTGTTAAATAAAATTTGAGTATGAACATTTTAGTATTGTAATGTTTTCTCAATTGTTGCAGGTTAACACTTAGATGTCTGCACACCACCAAGCCAGGATAAGTAACATGTCTGTAGAGATCAAAGCCTTGAGTTAATAGCAAACTGTTGCTCATGAAAGTAAACATATAAAACATAAACAAGATCTTCAACATGGAAAAGAAGGGAAAAGATGATGAAGCACCCAGGGATTTTAAGCCTCAAGTGAAAGACCTTTTAGCACACATGGACCCTATGATATATCTGGCAGGGACTGCTGACAATACCTCAGAAATGCTGTCATACCTTGCTGACATGGATCCTGCATTTCATAAGTTGCAGTTAGTTAAAAATTTGAGAAAAGGAATGCGGGAAGAGCTCAGTAAAGCTATAGAGGGCCATGTTGAAAATTATCTGGAGGAACAAAAAGGGAAGATGCGATCTGAGAATCCCATTGATTTCCTAGTAGAAAGGATTGAATCAGATGATGTATTTAATGATTTTGTAAAAAATGTTAGGACAAACATGGAAAATTCTGTGCAGTACATTACAAATCATTTTGATGATGAAATAGTGACAGGAATGTTTGCAAATGATGAAGATGAGAACACATATAATGTCAGTCCAAATGATTCAAATGAGTCTTCTCTAAATTCGTCATTAAATCAGTCTGGACTGTTGTTTTTGCACCCTGCACAATATCATAACATAGCCAAAAGCCTTCAAAACAAAAAAGAAATGGAAACTTTGAGTGATTCTTTAAATATTTTATTAGCAGTGACACCTGGAGAACCAGTGATGCAAGATTGTTGGCCTGAGATAAAGAAAGGATTAAGAGAATGTCTTTTGGATGATGTACCTGAAATATTTGACAAGGCTTTGAAAGTACATTGTAAACTTTTAACATCTCAAGTACATAATGCAGTAAAAGAGGCATATCTAAATCTTTTAAGTGCTGTAGCTGGTTTTTATATGTCCAAGAGGTTTCTTTCAAAAATTCCATTAAAAGGAGACAATGTTAATTTGCACTCATGTGAGAGTATCATTAGACTCTTAAAGATCTTAATTGAGTTTCAGAAGGAACTTCCACTCCTTTGGATAAGATATCCAGAAAGATTTGTTGATGACATGGTTGAAGCAACATTTAATCTTCTGGGTTTAAATCTTTCCATGAAGGATAATAAACAAATGACAGCACTGGATATGTATTGCCTAGTAGACCCTGAAGCATCATGGCTGAAAAGGTGGGTACATGGTCAGTGGGGAAGAAGTAAAACTTTTTCTGCAATGAGAAGTAATTCAATGGTTCTCTTTCACTCTGTATCAGTTTGTATTAACTACTTGGAAAATTTGGCAGAAATCTCACTGTCAGACACTAGAGATGTAATTAGTTCTAGTCTTTTAGCTCATTTAAGATTCATGCATGGTATTAACCTCATCATGTCAGTCCTTGAATTTTCTGATGGAAGGAAACTCTTTCCAGTCAATGTTCCTTCCAAGGAGGAACTGGTGACCATGCAGGGAATAATCCAAACACTGATTAGAGCACTTAACAGCAATACATCTGCATTAATAAATAAAGAAGTAAGCAGCCTCTTACAAAATTTTTGTTCTCACGATGAAATGAAGAGCTGGATCTTGTGTGATGCTGGAGTTGTGGAATTACTTCTTCAAGAAGTGAGCAGTTCTGAAAAATTTCCTGATGATAAAAAGGAGATGAAAGGAGAGTTGGAAAAAAAGATTCCAGTCAGTTATATTAAGGCAGTTCTTGTTATTCTGGACACCATTTTATCAACTAATAATGGACAAAAGTACATATTACTTGGAAGAAAAAGGAAATCTAGTTCTAAATCAGGGTTGTCTGGGATTATTAACAGCCCAGCACATGAAGTGATGAGTTTGGTCTTACGACTATTGAGAAATAAGCAAACAAGTTCAGACATGAAGAGACTTGCCATCAGTGTGTGCTGTAACTTACTTGCCTCACCAGTAGGTATACACATGTGTGCTCAACATCCTCTCATAGAAAGTGTAATTGAACATCTGAAGAATAAAAGTAAGTCAGTGTCAACAGAAAGAAAATTGGAAGAAATTGAATCAAGAGCAAGTATGTCGCTTCATCTTAGTGTTCCTCAGTCACTTCCTCTGTTGACCACACTGCTGCTCTCATATAAAGGATTCTTTCTCCTGGCAAGAGAGGGTGTCTTACCTTTGGCACTTACACAGGTCTTACCAGAGATGGCCAGAAAGGGCACCTTAAATGCCAAAATTCTTGCCAGTGTTTGCTGTTCACCTGAAGGTATGCAAATTAAGTTATTCACAGAGGAAGAAGGTATGCTAAAAACAAATAGTATCAGCTGTAGCTTAACTTTAACTGTGAATTATAATAACATGCATTCTTTTGGGTTACTTTTTGAAAGCTCACACTGTTCTTTATATTTATTAAAAAAAAGTCACCTTAATTGTTTTTGTAATGAAGTCAATACCTAAGTACAATACAGTGGACCCCTGGTTATCGGCCGTAATCCATTTCAGAAGGTTGGCCGATAACTGAAATGGCCGAAAACCGAATTAATATTTCCCATAAGAATTAATGGAAATACAATTAATCCGTTCCAGATGAACATATTCACAAAAAAAAAAAAAAAATTTTAACAATTATGTAAGTATTACATACCTTTATTGAAGGCTAATGCTGGCTTCTGGAAGATAGGGAAAAGGAAAGAGGGAGGAGTTAGTGATTGGAAGGGATATCCCCCGCCATAAAGACTAGGTAGCAAAGCCTTCTCTGGGGTTACTTCCTTTCTTTGTCTTTTAATGCCACTAGGACCAGCTTGAGAGTCACTGGACCCCTGTCTCACAAAATAACTGTCCAGAGTGCTCTGTTTCTGGCGTCTCTTTAAGATTTCCTTGAAGTGGGACAGGGTTTTGTCACTAAACATGTTGCAGATATGGCTTGTTTCAGCTTTGTCAGGGTGGTGTTTCTCTACAAAAGCTTGCACCCTGGTCCACATTGCACACACCTCTTTAATCTCTGAAGAACATACCTCCTTCACTCCCTCTTCTTCCTCCTCTGAAGCAAGTTCCTCAGCTGCAATCTGTTGCTGTTCAAGTTGAAGCTCTTGCAGCTCTTCAGTGGTTAGCTCTTCCCTGTGGTCCTCCACCAACTCTTCCACATCCTTGCCACTCACCTCCATCCCCAGGGACTTCCCGTGCCACAATAGAGTCCACAATAGGGTCAGCCTCAAACCCTTCAAAATCCCTCTCTTGGACACAATCTGGCCACAGTTTTCTCCAAGCAGAGTTCAAAGTCCTGGAAGTCACTCCCTCCCAAGCCTTACCAATAAGGCTTATGTAATGGAGGATAGTGAAGTGATTCCTCCAGAACTCTCTTAGGGTCAGCCAAGTGTCCGAGGTCACTTCAAAGCACTTTTGAAACACTGCTTTTGTGTAGAGTTTTTTGAAGTTAGAAATGACCTGCTGGTCCATGGACTGGAGGAGAGGATTGGTGTTAGGAGGCAAATCTGGAGGATGTGCAGGAGTATTGTCCAGTAACAGGAGGCACTTGAGTGGCAATCTCTTTTCCAGGAGGTATTTTTCACACTTGGGCCAAACACATCATTAACCCACTCTTTGAAAATTTGCCTTGTGACCCATGCCTTATGATTAGCTTTCCACATCACACACAGTCTATTCTTCATGACATTGCTTTTTTCGAAAACTCTGGGATTTTCTGAGTGATACACGAGTAAAGGCTTCACTTTGAAATCCCCACTTGCATTACCACAAAACAAAAGAGTAAGCCTGTCTTTCATAGGCTTGTGTCCTGGCAGTGCCTTTTCCTCCGGGGTAATGTAGGTCCTGTTTGGCATTTTCTTCCAAAACAGGCCTGTTTCGTCACAATTGAACACTTGTTGGGGTTTGAATCCTTCAGCCTCTATGTACCCCTTTGTGGCATGCAAAGAGTACGTAACCTTTATTCGGCGCATGTACACACCCTCATTTACAGATCTCTCCCAGTCAGCGAACCAGGTGCTAAGGGTTAACGATGGGGCCCCATCGTTCAATCAGTACCCAGGTTCCAGCCAATGAGAAGATGGTTTTGGCAATCGCAGAGGTGTTGTGGGTACCACACACCTGTCTGCCCTTGTCATTCTCATTCTAGAGCTGGTTGAAGCACGGTCTGCTCTCTAGTGGCTTCTATTCTGCCTTGCTTACCGTGGAGTGCACTAATACCTATTGTTGTACGTAGTGTATATAGTGTACATAATTCTGTTCTTACTTGGTGAAGGATAATATAAGTCAAAAGTTTTTCTGCTGTGTTTATTTTGCTCCCTTTACACCCAGGATAACAGGCCTTGGGACTCCTGGGCTGTAATACCCTGGAATTCCTGCATGAATTTTTCAGCTGCACATTTGTCAGAACTTGCAGCCTCACCATGCCTTACAACACTGTGTATGCCACTACGCTTCTTAAATCTATCAAACCATCCTTTGCTGGCCATAAATTCACAAACTGCAGCACTTGTTCCAGGCATTTTCTTTGCAAGATCCTCATGCAACTGCCTTGCCTTCTCACAAATAATAGACTCCACAACACTGTCTCCCACTAATTCTTTTTCTTTAATCCACAATAATAATAACTTTTCCATCTCTTCTATTATTGGTGGCCTTTGTTTAGTTAGAAAAGTTACTCCTTTTGCAACATTAGTGTCTTTGATTTGTTCTTTCTTTGCCAGGATGGATGTAATTGTTGATTTATTCTTGCTGTACATCCTGGCAAGTTCCACCACCTTCATACCACTCTCAAACTTTTCTATCACTTCACGCTTAAATTCCATGGTGTTTCTCACTTTCTTTACCACAGGAACTTTCTTTGGAGCCATGGTTACTTATTTCACAGTTGCACTGCAAAAAAAAAAACCACTTAAAACAATGGAAAATAAGCAAAATATTTGGATGTATGAGCAGAAGCCTCCTCAGCCACTGAGAGACAAAGCCAAACTGACGCGCAAGCAGCCCCAGCCGGTGGATGGACGTGTCCCAAATGGCCGATCACTGAATTAACGGCCGATAACCGGACGCCAAAAAACTGGCCGATAACTGAGTTGGCCGATAACAGAACCGGCCGATAACCGGGGCTCCACTCTATTACCAATTGCCATGTTTACAAGTGTACTTCTACAGGATGTTCGGTTGTTGCCAGTTTAAAAGTCTTGCAGCCATTCTGGGACATTCTTTGCCATGTAGCAAAGGGGCAGGAGCTGATGCAGCAGCCTCCTACAGAAGAGGAGAAGGAAGAAGCCATAGAAGCAGCAGAAGCACCTCTCCTGGCATTAACAGCAACATATCAAGGTAGCATAACCAGTATTTTGTAATTAGAATGTTCATATGAATAAATATATTAAAACCTCTTGAAGAACAAAAACACACAATACCATGACTGGAACAATACATGAATAACCCGCACATAGGAGAGAGAAGCTTATGATGATGTTTCAGTCCGACTTGTGTATTAAACCTCTTGAATCTAAAAATGCTTGGAGCTAGGGTAATCTGGATTAATAGTTTTTTCTGTGGTAGATGGAGGTAATGCCACCTGATCAACACACCTACTCAGCAATCTTGGGCTTATCTTGTTCAACCCCCCTTACCCTTTTATATGTCAGGGATTTAACCCTTTGACTGTCGCAAGCCCCTTTCTGAAACTGTCATTCTATGTCGATAAATTTTTGGAAAAAAATAAATTATTTTTTATTATGAAATGATAGAGAATCTTTTCCCGATGGTAATGACACCAAAAGTACGAAATTTGGTCGAAAACTCACGGAATTACACTCCCGCAAAGTTAGGAGTCTCGGCGACATATACGCATCGGCGATTTCGCCGACTTTGAGCCCTGTTTTTGGCCAATTCCATTGTTCCAGTTGACAAACTCATGACTATTTCTTTAGAACTCCATTTTTACTATCTGTTGAGTACAAGAAACAGCCCATTTACCGATTTGAACTACTCAATAAAGTGGTCAGAAATTGGCAATTTGGCCAATTTCACGCAAATTAAAAAAGATGCCAATTTCAAAATAGGGTCCAGAATAAACACTGTAGACATTCTTGGCACTAAAATAACATATCCTCTGTTCATTAGTCATGTTTCTAGGCCCCTCTTATATTACTATTGCTTTCTATTTTTATTTTTTATTCATACAAAAAATACAAAATTTACTGTTATGCAGACTACTGCATTACTGTAAAAATGGTATAAATAATATCAGTGCACTAGTGAAAAAATATTAGACTCTCCAGTTGAAGTGTATTGGACGTGTGGTGTGATTTGCTTACTCCTGAACATTGGTAAAAATCGAACATTTCTGCTTTTTTGAGCTCAATTTCAAGGTCATTTTCATTGTGAAAGTAATCAAAATCGTACTCTATTTCTGTAATACGTTTTCCATTTTATCACCTGAGACCATGAAAACGAGAATACAACAATAAATACTATGCGAAAATACACCTCAAATTCGACGTTTTAATCCAAAAAAAACGCTCAAGTTTTTTTTCTCATTATGCACTGCCTGCTGCAGGATTTTTTTTATGTGGTGCACACTGATCACACAGACCCATTCTCTCACATGTGGGCCTACCAGCTTTCTCCCGCTTGATTTGAAGCCGCTAGAATTTATGTGTATAAATACGTCAGAAACAGTGATGCGTAAGACATAAATATACGACCAAAACAGTCAAAGGGTTAAGAACATATTCCTCCTCTTTATGTCATTTTTGACAATTTTGATAGTGTTTGCAGCTATATAAAGAGGCTGACCACCATGGTCTGAGATTTAATTCTTGGTAGAAAAATTATTTGCAAATAGCTCAGTCTTTTCTTGACTATTTTAGCAACATTCCAATCTTGGTGTAAATAATCACAATATGATAACAGTTGGTGAGAAAGACACAAATGCAGAGGAATCCTTTATTTGTATAATGTTTCACCCAGCTGAACTTTTCTAGTACATATCAGATATGAGAGACAACGGCTTATGTAGTCCTTAGGGAGTGGTCATGTGGAGTGTCATGGACTTAGGTATAAATAAAACTATTTGATCTTGGATTTGTGAACTGCGGAGGCCTACTAGCCCCTGCTTAGCTTACTGTGTTTTAGTACAATAATCACTATGGTAGCAGATATGTAGAGATGCTCCTAGTCGATGTGCTCCAGAACTGTCTTTTCACTGGTTGAATTAATTTAGGACTTAATGGAAAAAGTCTGTTATATCCAGAATTGTCCATTATTGTTATGAGCATGGATAAACAAACAAATTTGGATTTAATGGCTTTAATGGACACCCTGTCCTCCTATTGGGCTTTTCCTGGTAAGAGACGACTAATGCAAACCCAACTCTATAATGCACATGTATCTTCTTAGAAAATAATTGTTCTCTTATATTATTTTCTCTGTGAAAATTTAAGATTATTGGGTAAAAGAGATCTAGGAGGGTCAGCCTATACATGAGTACTCATATTTATGCATGATTATTCTAGTTAGTTTTTGTAGTTTAAACTTAACCTACTCCCATCACTAATCTGATCAGCTTATTCTTTGGCCTATTCATACATCTCATTATGATAAGAGGTTTCTTTAAGACTTAGGAGATTTACCACTTCCTTCCTTATACACAGGAACACAACTTATCTTCAGTGAACAAGGTTTACTAACACCTATATCTGAGTCCCTCTACTCTACCAGTGAAATGTTAACACAAATGCACACCATTGCTTTAAGACTCCTGGGATCTGCCACATCTGTCCTTGACTCTGTAGCATTCCTCCAAGCTTCCTTCGGTTATCAGGTATTGTTCCACAAAAAAAGCTTTTCTGCATCATGTGTATTACTCTCTTAATTTTTTCATTCATATTTGGTTTTAGTATTTTTACCGTGCAAGTCACTTCGAAATTAAAACCTGAATGGTGCATGCAGAACCATTTCTAAATATTTTTGACTGTTTATCTTTATACAGTTTCAGGTGTTAAAAATTTAGCAGTCCTGAAGCTCACATTTACCAGATAAGACCTTGCTAACTGAATTAACAAGTTTAGTACAGTGCTATATTGTGCCCTATATATGAGATGCAGCAACAAGTAATACTAAAAGACTTTTAATAGGGAAGTGTGAAATGAGTAGTGCAGTACCCTTTATTGACTCGAATATTCCATGCGTAATGTTTAAGGAGGAGCTGCTTGCACAACAACACCACCTGAGATGTGGAGAAGGGGATTCTGTCATTGTCGATGAAAACTCCATTCTTCGGAATCACATATTAGTGAAATCTTACCTGATGGGTGGTGGCAGTGAGAGATGGCTTCCTCCTCTTGCTGTTGAAGAGATGTCTACACCAAGCATAGTAAGCTTTCTCTTACCTCTTTCTCTTTTTTTTTATTCACAAGAAAGCTTTAAACCTGTATGAGATATACAGTTCCAGGAACCCAGCATTAATCATTATGAAATATTGATTGGTGATCAGTTTTGCTTTCATATTTAATGCATTTAACTAATAGCTGAAGCTGGTGACCAGTTCTTGATAGGTTAACAAAATTTCAACCTGATGCTGGGTCACCTTAAAGTGGTGGTGGGGTTTGTGGTTTATGGCTAGTGGTAGGGGGCTTCTTCTCTGGGAGGGGGTGCCACTCTCACTGCAGGGTGCTTGCTTGACTTAGAACAATCTCTTTCAACATAAATGGTTGAGATATTTCCCCTTTTGTCTAAATTTGCTCATGCTCCTGGCCGATGACATGGATTGCGGAATGTGGAAAATAAATATTTAACCCTTTCAGGGTTGCCAGGCCCTCTCCAAGACTTGTTCTCAAGGTCGCCCAAATTTCAAAAAAAAAAAATATATATATTTTCTTATGAAAATATAGAGAATCTTTTCCCGATCATAATGACACCAAAAGTATGAAATTTGATGGAAAACTTACAGAATTATGCTCTCGCGAAGTTAGCGGTCTCGATGATGTTTACACATCGTGATTTTGCCCACTTTGAGCTCCATTTTCGGCCAATTCCAGTGTACTAGTCGACAAAAATCATAACTATTTCGCTAGAACTCCATTTTTTCTATCGAATGAGTACAAGAAACCACCCATTTACCGATTTCAACTATCCAATAAAGTGGTCAGAATTTAGCAATTTTGCCAATTTCACACAAACTTCAAAAGATGCCAATTTCTGAATAGGGTCCAGAATAAACAAAGACATTCTTGGCACTAAAATAACAAGTTCTCTGTTTGTCAGTCACATCCCCAGGCCCCTCTTATATTTCTTTGGCTTTCCACTTTGAATTTTTATTCTTACAAAAAATATAAGATTTACTGTTATGCAGACTACTGCATTAGTGTAGAAATGGTATAAATAATATTGGCACACTTGTGAAAGAATATTAGACTCACCAGTTGATGTGTATTGGATGCTTGGCATGATTCGTTTACTTTTGAACTTTGGTAAAAATCGAACATTTCTGCTACTTTGAGCTCAATTTCAAGGTGCTTTTCATTGTAAAACCAGTCAAAATCATCTCAATTTCTGTAATATGTCTTCCATTCTATAAAATGAGACCAGGAAAACTAGAATACAACAATAAATACCATACAAAAATGCAGTGCAAAGTCGCTGCTTTAATCCAAAACACGGTCAAAGTTTTTTTTCTCATTACGCACTGTGTGCTGCAGGATTTTTTTTATACTGTGCACACTGACCACATAGACCCATTCTTTCATATGTAGGCCTACCAGCTTTCTCTCGCTAGATTTGAGGGCGCTAGAATTTAGGTGTACTAGTACATTAAAAACCCTGGGCCAAAACCCTGAAAGGGTAAAAAGTTTTACTTGTTTTGTGAGTATAATTTATGTAATATAATTGTCATTTGGTCATGACAGCAATGTATATTGATAGTAAATTTGTTATATAATGTTAGAAACAGAATATAGTTAAAGCATTGAACAACCAAAAGATTCTAGTGTTTAGTAAACACATTGCAGTAACATTACCATAGAATTCTTGTTGAGATTCATGAATATTACAATTTTGCAGCCTCCGCTCTTCACTCATTATCCACCGCCAAGGGATTATATTCCTGAAAAGCCTATCCGGTCCATGCACAAAAAACAGAATGAAGTGTGGAGATTTCTCACAGATACTCGCCACGGTCTTCATGATGTAGGTTGGCTCAATCACTGTCGTAAGGCTGTCCGTGCCGTCCTTTTGTCTGGAGAGCATATCAAGGTTAGTCCTGTGTGCTATATAACTGAAGTTTATTTATTTTATGTTACCAGTGTAAATTTCATGAATTTTTTCTTCATAGCTTGGACTCATGGCCTTCCTTGATTAACAGTACTTCAATTTAATTTATTTTTGTTTTATTTAGGTAGAGATACACCTACCATCCGACTTATGACCGAGTTCGGTTCCGAGAAACCGGTCGTAAGTCGAACTTTACTACTGAATATCAACAAAACATTTTTGTAATGGCTTTATTTTATTGTTTTATTTTGGTATTTCATGTTTTACTTTACTTTTTATGTTGTTAGTACTGTATTTTATACTGTAAGGTTTAGGATAAACACTGTACAACACAAATAGTTGTTTATTTCCCAGAAATTTGGCATAAAAAACACGGTCGTAAGTCGAGTGGTCGTAAGTCAAGCAGGTCGTAAGTCGGATGGTAGGTGTATTTTGTGATAAATGGTTTGAAAAACCACTATGTATTTTGTGATAAATGGTTTGAAAAACCATCAGTCTTGTAGAATGTACATTCTACAAGATTGATGGACTGAACACATCGACTCCAGGCTGAGGGACTGATTACCTCAAACTCCTCCTCTCCTTACACCTTCTGCTTTGTATTGGACTGATGAAGCCACTGTTTGGCGAAACGTTTCCTGAATAAAGATTCCCATATGTTGCATAAGTGTCTCAATCTTCAGAGATATTTTGTGTTGTATTTGGGTGCACTATAATAATATTATTATTTTTATTATCTTGATCTACAATTTACTAAGAAAATGACCAAGGAAATGCTGTTGTATGTCATAGTGGTCATGTTTTAACATGGCTTTACAAATAACTATACATAATCTAATCTTTAGTAAATTACTTTACTTGACTGTTGTTGTGTATGTTCATGAAATATCCATGAGTTAACAAGGAAATTTAATATTTCTGCTGTGGGATCATGGGGAGTTCACATTAGATTATTATTATTGCATAATTTTGTGTGAAGGAGACACTAAACCCATAGGGGTCATACAGCACTTGAGGAATAGGAGGCAATCAGGTTTCATCCAAAGATGATGAGATGTACTATGTACCACAATCAGCCCTACTCACACTATACTATTCATTCATCTGTCCCTACTCACGTATGCTGTTTGTGCCTGGGGATCAACAGCAGCAACCCACCTAAAGCCAATAATAACCCAGTAAAAAGCTGCAGTAAGAATTATCAAGCAATCCAATGCTAGACAACACCCCCCCCCCCCCAATCTTCAAAGACCTAAACTTACTCACTGTACAAAACATTGACATCTACTACTGTGCTACCTACATTTACAAAACCATAAGTTCTAATATTAACCCTGAACTAAAACACCTTCTTGATAGTTGCAACAGGACCTGTAGACATGATACCAGACACAAAAATCTCTGACATTCCTTGTGTCTTGCTAAATCTCTACAAAAACTCAGTGTACATAAAAGGGCCTAAAATCTGGGACTCCCTCCCCAAAAACTTTAGAACTGCAGATTCAACCACCATTTTCAAAACTACCATTAGAAAACTTCTTATCTCCCTAGCACACTCCATCATCAGCTAACTATGTGAAAATAACCTATTCTCTTTTTTGTATCATGAACACATCCAGAACAAAATAGGCTTACTCTCATTATCTGTAATTCCCCTAATTTACACTTACACTCACCCAAATGACTGTAAACATAAAATTCATAATGTAACTGTTGCCTAATAACTCTTGTGTTAGTCCTAAGTTTGCCTGAAATACTCTCCCTATATAGGAGCTTTTATAGAAACAGTGTATCATGCAGAGATAAAACCATTCCCAGTGCTAAATTTACTAATTATAATATTGTTATATGTTTTGTACTACCTCACTGTTATCAATCTAATTAATGTTAATCACTTCAGTTACCTAACTTTAATTTTTTTTTTTTTCAACAAGTCGGCCGTCTCCCACCAAGGCAGGGTGACCCAAAAAAGAAAGAAAATCCCTAAAAAGAAAATACTTCATCATCATTCAACACATTCACCACACTCACACATAATCACTGTTTTTGCAGAGGTGCTCAGAATACAACAGTTTTGAAGCATACACATATAAAGACACACAACATATCCCTCCAAACAGCCAATATCCAAAACCCCTCCTTTAAAGTGCAGGCATTGTACTTTCCATTTCCAGGACTCAAGCCCGACTGTATGAAAATAGCCGGTTTCCCTGAATCCCTTCACTAAATATTACCCTGCTCATACTCCAACAGAAAAGATTCTTATTCCACTTCCCCATGGATATAAAAGGAAAAGTAATAAGACCAAGAACTATTAAGATAAAATCAAAGAAAACTCAGATGAGTGTGTATAAATAAATGTGTACATGTATGTGTAGTGTGACCCAAGTGTAAGTAGAAGTAGCAAGACATACCTGTAATCTTGCATATTTATGAGATAGACAAAAGACATCAGCAATCCTACCATCATGTAAAACAATTACAGGCTTTCGTTTTACACTCACTTGGCAGGACGGTAGTACCTCCCTGGGTGGTTGCTGTCTACCAACCTAATTAAAGTGTACTGCTCAATAACCTGTGTCAATATAGAGTAAGAATTAGGATTTTTTTTTTAAGCAAGTCAGCCGTCTACCACCGAAGCAAGGTAACCCAAAAAGAAAGAAAATCCCCAAAAAAGAAAATACTTTCATCATCATTCAACACTTTCACCTCACTCATACATAATCACTGTCTTTGCAGAGGCGCCCAGATACAACAATTTAGAAGCATATATAAAGATATATAACATATCCCTCCAAACTGCCAGTATCCCAAACCCTCCTATAAAGTGCAGGCGTTGTACTTCCCATTTCCAGTACTCAAGTCTGGCTATATAAAAATAACTGGTTTCCCTGAAACCCTTCACTAAATATTACCCTGCTAACACTCCAACAGCTCGCCAGGTCTCAAAAACCATTCGTCTACATTCACTCCCATCTTACACGCTCACGCATGCTTGCTGGAAGTCCAATCCCTTCACCCACAAAACCTCCTTTACCCCCTCCCTCCAACCTTTTCAAGGACAACTCCTACCCCGCTTTCCTTCCCCTACAGATTTATATGCTCTCCATGTCATTCTACTTTGATCCATTCTCTCTAAATGACCAAACCACCTCAACAACCCCTCTTCAACCCTCTGACTAATACTTTTATTAACTCCACACCTTCTCCTAATTTCCACACTCCAAATACTCTGCATAATATTTACACCACACATTGCCCTTAGACAGGACATCTCTACTGCCTCCAACCGCCTCCTCGCTGCAGCATTTACAACCCAAGCTTCACACCCATATAAGAATGTTGGTACCACTATACTTTTATACATTCCCTTCTTTGCCTCCATAGATAATGTTTTTTGTCTCCACATATACCTTAATGCACCACTCACCCTTTTTTCTTCATCAATTCTATGGTTAACCTCATCCTTCATAAACCCATCCGCTGACACGTCAACTCCCAAATATCTGAAAACATTCACTTCTTCCATACTCCCTCTCTCCAATGTGATATCCAGTTTCTCTTTATCTATATCATTTGATACCCTCATCACTTTACTCTTATCTATGTTCACATTCAATTTTCTATCTTTACATGTCCTCCCAAACTCGTCCACTAACCTTTGCAACTTTTCTTTAGAATCTCCCATAAGCACAGTATCATCAGCAAAAAGTATCTGTGTCAACTCCCATTTTGTACTTGATTCCCCATAATTTTATCCCACCCCTCTCCCCAATACCCTAGCATTTACCTCCCTCACAACCCCATCTATAAATATATTAAACAACCATGGTGACATTACACATCCCTGTCTAAGACCTACTTTTACCGGGAAGTAGTCTCCCTCTCTTCTACACACCCTAACCTGAGCCTCGCTATCCTCATAAAAACTCTTTACAGCATTTAGTAACTTAATACTTATTCCATACACTTGCAACATCTGCCACATTGCTCCTCTATCCACTCTATCATATGCCTTTTCTAAATCCATAAATGCAATAAAAACTTCCCTACCTTTATCTAAATACTGTTCACATATATGCTTCAATGTAAACACTTGATCTACACATCCCCTACCCACTCTAAAGCCTCCTTGCTCATCTGCAATCCTACTCTCTGTCTTACCTCTAATTTTCTCAATACTAACCCTACCGTACACTTTTCCTGGTATACTTAGTAAATTTATTTCCCTGTAATTTTTACAGTCTCTTCTGTCCCCCTTCCCTTTATATAAAGGAACTATACATGCTCTCTGCCAATCCCTAGGTACCTTACTCTCTTTCATACATTTTTTTTTTTTTTTTTTTCAACAAGTTGGTCGTCTCCCACTGAGGCAGGGTGACCCAAAAAAGAAAGAAAATCCCCAAAAAGAAAATACTTTCATCATCATTCAACACTTTCACCACACTCACACATTATCACTGCTTTTGCAGAGGTGCTCAGAATACAACAGTTTAGAAGCATATACGTATAAAGATACACAACATATCCCTCCAAACTGTAAATATCCAAAACCCCTCCTTTAAAGTGCAGGCATTGTACTTCCCATTTCCAGGACTCAAGTCCGACTATAAGAAAATAACCGGTTTCCCTGAATCCCTTCACTAAATATTACCCTGCTCACACTCCAACAGATCGTCAGGTCCCAAGTATCATTCGTCTCCATTCACTCCTATCTAACACGCTCATGCACGCTTGCTGGAAGTCCAATCCCCTCGCCCACAAAACCTCCTTTACCCCCTCTTTCCAACCCTTTCGAGGACGACCCCTACCCCTCTTTCCTTCCCCTATAGATTTATATGCTTTCCATGTCATTCTACTTTGATCCATTCTCTCTAAATGACCAAACCACCTCAACAACCCCTCTTCTGCCCTCTGACTAATGCTTTATTAACTCCACACCTTCTCCTAATTTCCACACTCCGAATTTTCTGCATAATATT